TCGTCTTACATGATGTTAAACAGCTTTGGGGGAGCTAAAACTTCTTGATAATTTCTTAAAAACTACCTAATGATGCCTTTCAGGTCGGTTTCCTCCTTAGTTCATGATCGTTAACAATGGGTCGTCGTTAAAGATCGTTAACAAAGGGTCGTCATTAACGATAGTTAACAAAGGGTCGTCGTTAAAGATCGTTAATAAAGGTTCGTCGTTAACGATCATCAACCAAGGATCGTCGTTCACGATCATTGACGAAACGACGAGTTTTATAAAAATATCGTTTTTCAAAACGATCGTTTCAAAAACAACCATTTAAAAAAAAACGAACTTTTTATAAGCCCATGAGATCGTGCCCATTAGTTTGGCATTGATAGTTACGTGCTTGTGTACGTGTTGACATTGAAGCCCATGAGATCGTGCCCATTGGTTTGACATTGATAGTTACGTGCTTATGGCCCTGTAACATTGAAACCTGAGATCGTGCCCTTGTTTGGCATTGATAGTTTATGAGTTGTACCTGGACTGATACAGTTCTGATCGCAGTTTTAAGAGTACGGCATTTACTACATATATATATCTCTCTTTTATTGTGGTTGAATACCAGCGTAAAATATATATCTATATGTATTTAAAATAGTTGAAACTTTTATCGATAATATAAAGATCAATAAAATACAACTATTCCAAATTAAACTCTTAACTTGAAAGTATTAAAACACAAGTGCAATAAAAAATGCTGTTTTAATACAAAGCTGAAAGACAAATTCAAAAAAAATTAATGAAAGAAAAATATTTTTGCATATCAAAAATTCTTTCAATACCTTATGTTTTGGTGTCTGTGAAATTAAAAATCCATTTCACGAAATGTTTCCCCACAAAACGTTTCCTAACAAAACATTTTCACCACAAAACGTTTTCTGCCACAAAATGTCTTCTTTATAAAAACGATTTCTCCAGAATATGGTTCCTGCCACAAAACGTTGCCTCACATAAGATATTCACCACAAAACGTTTCCAGCTACAAAACTTGAAGTAAACTTCAACAAAAAGTTTCATTTATCAAACGTTTCCGTTTAAAAATGTTTTCTATAATAAAATGTTTTCTTTTTCAAAATGTGAACCATACTAAAAATGTTTCCACAAATGATCATTTCTTCAGTTTAATCATTAATTATGCAGGAAGATGTAGGTTTGAATATTAAACACATGGCTGGAAACATTTATGAAAGTAAACATTTTCTGGAGGAAACATTTGTTTGAGAAAACATTAGATAGTAGGAGAGAAGATATTTTGTGGAGGAAACATTTCATTGAGAAAACATTAGATAGCAGGAGAGAAGATATTTTGTGGAGGAAACATTTCGTTGAGAAAACATTAGATAGCAGGAGAGAAGATATTTTGTGATTGAAACATTACGTTGAGAAAACATTAGATAGCAGGAGAGAAGATATTTTGTGGAGGAAACATTTCGTTGAGAAAACATTAGATAGCAGGAGAGAAGATATTTTGTGGGGGAAACGTTTTTTTTGGAGAGGAAACATTCTGTGCCAGGAGTCATTTTGTGGAGGAAACGGCTATGGATAAATGTTTTGTGTCAAAAAAATGCGTGGGGAAACATTTATAAATGTAAACATTTTGTGGGAAAACTTTTTGAGGGAAAACGTGTAAGTGCTCCATTAATATTTGTTTGTATGTTGGTTTGTTTTGACTTTCCAATCATAATTCAGAAACCCTTTGACCGATTTGCCTCAATGTTTATTTGGAACTCGGTAGAATCAAGGGAATGTACTTCGCTTGGTCCAATAACAAATTTACAAACATCATCAAATTGCAAAGATATAGGGATTAGAAATTTTGATCTTATTTTTGACTTTTTGTACTAACTAAATTAACAATTTGAAAAAAAAGTATACGACATCATGCTGCAACGATTTAGGGATGAAAAAATCAAAGTTAGTGACAAAGACTTGAATCCATAAAGAAATTTTAGCTCATGTCTTATTCTTAACGTTTAGCCAAGAAAAGTAGTGCAACAATGAAAAATATATTTTATTACAATTATATTTTCTTGAAAACTACTAAATATTACAGTTCAAGGTCTAACTTCAGCTCCACACACTCTACCAAACTTTCAAGAAACTCCCTCCCCCCCCCTCCCCCCTCCCCTAAATCCTCTCATCCTCGCAATATTAAGCTTCACTTTATTAAAGAGACTGTACGTAAACTTAGCTTTAATTTGTCCTCAATTTAGGATTTAGTACAATTCCCTTTTTCTTTTATCTCCGTGAAACAATTATCATCATATTTCTGTCAAAAAGTGTTCAATTTTGACAATTTCTTTCGCAGTCATTGCTGGCACACCTGTACCTTGAAAAATCACAATTTGTATTCATGAATCGAAAAATTAAAATATCTTAATAATTTTGCTCCTTGAAAGGTTTTGGTTTAGGGTAATACTTATTAAGAATATTTAAAGCTATGTTTCCATTTTTGCCACTTTTTCGAAAAAGGAATATCTTTCATGCAAGTAATTCTTTGATTACATTAATTTTTGTTTACAAAGATTAAATTTCTGACGAGAAAAGTCTGAATTTCTTTTGAAGTAAAATTCATTAAAAATTTAATATATGCATGGAATCCTGGTTAGCATGGTTACTTGGTGGAATCTAATATCAAAGATTAATCTTCTCTGTTATTCTTGCATAATTATATTTCGGGGTATTATATATATAGGGCTGGGTACAGTTCCCTTAACAATATCCCGTTTAGGGGGGGGGAGTGTTTTCCACCCCCCACCCTGTGGTTTAATTAGAATGCTGAAACTTCTTCACTTTTTCAATATTATAGTTTGCTAAAATCTTTTTTTGGGTCCATTGGGTAGGGTTAAGGACGGTCAAAAAATCAGAAATGGTATATAAATTTTTATTAATAAAACTATAGGGCTAAACCTTATTTATTTGAAAAGCCCTTGGAAAATGGATATGTTAACATTTGTCAAAAGTAAAAACAACTAATTTTGAAAAAATTGTCTACATACTTTTTGAACTTTTTAAAAATCCTTCCTTACGCCCTAATCATTAAAGTTAGAGATTTAATTTTTTTAAATGGGATACTTTGAATAGTTGAACTTGTTGTATCACACTCCCCTCTCAACTCTGAGGGCAAATCACAGGGGGGGGGGTGGAAAACACCCTCAACCCACAAACCCAAAAAAGACACACATAGCATATGATATGTTCAGATTTAGACGCTGCAGCCTGTTTGAAAAAAAAGACCAAAACTTTTAGTTTTATAAAATACGTTATCTGAGGCCGAATTTAAAGACTTCAAACCGCGCCGCTGAATCGCCAAAAACCGGTTCCAATTAAGCGACGGCCCAAATATCGAAACATTAAATACAATCATGTTTAAACCATCTCTCATATTTGAGCCGCGGCTCAAATTCTTTAAATTTAGATCGATTCCTTGTTGAGCACTGTTGTAACGTAACAAACTCTAATTTTCTAATTCTTTTATCTTTGAAAACCGATGTCGAAGACCTTTGATATGTCAATTAATTCTGTTAGATTAGTCTTAATTTGAAATATCAAAGGTTTACAACTTCCGGTTGCAAAGATATAGGGATTAGAACATTACTTTGCGGCAAAGAGTTGATCCTTTATATTGTTCAGGTGTACGCGTATCTATATGATACCTACAGTGTCCCGAGTATGGATGTCAAGATAGTTGTAACTTTCCTCACTAACAACAATGTTCCACAGGAATAATTTTAAAACATTTAATGGGACTGTCGACGTATTTATATACATACCCGAGTCACAATGGACCCATTTAATCCTCTATTTGAGTAACAATGAGGAAGATATCATCAGTTTTCTTTTCTAAACGTGTTGAGTTCTGTCATTTTTCTTTATTGTTTCTGAAGAATAATTCCACAAGTCACTTAAAAAATAGAAACTTTTTGCATATTTCATTTTTTTTAAGACAAATATTTAATGGGTAACATTGTAAATCGGCAATTTTTCTAATGTAGGGTATAAATATAAAACTGTCCCTAAAAAATAAAAGTGAAGAAAAACTTCTTTTGAAACAAATAAACCTTTTATTTTCCCATGGAAAAGTTAATGGTTTTAAAAATCAATGTTATGATTGATGATGAATTTTTAAACCTTCTCTGAGTCTAAAAAGATAAAATTATAATCATTTGAAGTCTCAATCCTACAATCTTATCCTTCCCTTGTCCCTCGTTGTTAAACCTTGTCCACCAATCAAAGATGCAGATTTTAAGGTAAACATTTTTTTATAGAACAAGTTTGCAATTTTGTTTGTTTGTTTCATTTATCTGAAGTTTTTTATTCGTTAAGAATTAAATTATCAGTTCAGAAGGATTAGATAAACTTGAAAATATTGAAATAGAATTTTTATATTTAACACACATTTTCCCTGTACTATTTAAATTCCTTGCTAGAGCACTGCAAACTAAAAAGAAGGAAAAGTTCAAATTTTTGTGACATTACTTTTGTTGACCTCGTATTTTCTCTAGTTTTTATTTTACGCACAATTAAGAGAGAATAAATTTTATCCAATTAAGAAACAGTTGTTTTTTCTTTTTCTCAATAACTTTTCAATAAGAGGAATATGATAAACCATATATGTGTAATAAATAAAATTCGGTGGCTTTTTCATTTTAAACATCTTTTGACTCAGAAGGAAGAGGGGTGGTCGGGGTGTTCCAAATATACAAACCAACCTACACCTTTAAAATAGTTTTAATAGCAATATAATTAGTTTTGGGGATTATATAAAGTCTAATTTAAGTTTAAAACTTAATGAATGACACCAAAATAATTATCTATCTTAGAAAAAAATCGTAAAAATATGGAATCCAATGAAAGTGATGCAGTTGTAATATAAATTGGCTAGTCAGATTCGACATCACTTTCCTTTTTTTAGCAATCTTTTTTTTCAAAAAAGGTTTTCTTAAATTTTTTGATATTTTTAAAATGATTGGTATTATAATTCTGTCTGATATATCTGGTTTGTTGCAAGGAATTAATTCAATATCTCTGCTGCTGACACTGAACCCATGAACAATAATAAATATTGACCCTTGCAAGTTTTCTAGAATTGATATTTGCTATTTCATCACTTTCCTTTAAAATTCTATCTAAATGTATGCTCTTAATTTAAAAAAAAACGTTAAAGACTTTTTATTTTCTTGAGTTAAAAGTTTGTATTAAAAATTGATACTTTTCTAACTTTTCTGACAAACTGGGATAAATAAATATTGGTTGTTTGTTTCAGTTTGCTTTTCAATTTATCTTTTTTTCATTCAACAATACTTTGTCATATTGGTAGTACAAGGTTGGCGTAATATCAAATGTGAACATTTTGTTTAAAATTACCTTAAAAATTCCTTACAGCAAACCAGAAATATCAGACAGAATTGAAAAATAAGCAGAGATTATCAGAATTCTAAACCAAGGAATAGATAAGAAAAATTTACAGACTATTTCTAATATCAATTATTTTGAAAATATAAAAAAAATGTTGGGGTGCTGTTTCCCACTTTGGGTTTTCGGGGTCTTGGGATCCCCCTCCCACCTCCCCACAAGGGGGGGGGGGGGGGGTTCCCGGGGCCTCAAGAATTCAAAAAGTGGGAAAAATTGGAATACTGTAATACTTTTAAAATAATTTTGTACAATTTTGTAATATTTTTTTAATCAGAGTTTGTGACAAAGAATCAATTCTCGTGTTGGAGCATCAAAGTTAAATACGATTTACTAAAATTATTTTCAAATTTTATTGAGTGAATTTTATCAATCATCAAAATTTAAAAACATTTGCTACTTTAAGTTGAAATTGGCTTCGGGGTGCTCCAACAAATCTTGTTAGATTAAATTTTTAATATCTTAAAACGTGTTAACATTCTGTTCATGAAAAAAAAGAATTGTAGAAAATCTTAATCTAAAAAAACTTTTTTAGGTGACCTTGAGTACTAATAAACCTGCAGTAAGCTTGCTAGATATATTTCCAGAGTTTGTACTCGACAGCTCAATGACGAATGCTGCAGGCAAACACAATCCAAGTTCAGACATTCAGGGTTGTATTGTTTGGTTTGGTTTGATTGGATGGTTGGGTCTTGGTTTGGTATTTTCAGATTGTATGGCTTGGTAGGGTTTGGTATGGTTTTAATTTATGGTTTGGTATGGTTTTAATTTATGGTCAAACGCCAAACGGTCAAAAACGTGATAAAGGTTAAAACGAGAAGTGGTCAAACAATGCAACAAACAGGCAAAATGTCATTTAGACAATTTTTGGTTAATTTGAACTATTTTTATGTTCATTAGAACTAATAGCAGCAGCGCTCGGCCCCATAGCCTGTCCTAGCCGTAGCGCTCAGTCCAGAAATTGTCTTAACCTAACCTAACCCTGAAATTATGCATATTTTTATTTTATGTTTTATGTTCATTTGAACTACTAGCCGCAGTGCTCGGCCCATAGCCTGTTCTTTCCGCAGCGTTCTGCCCAGACATTTTCCTACCCTAACTTAACTCTGAAATAATACATAAAATATTTTTTTTCCATTTGGACCCTTTGTCGTTTTCTCTTTTGTCACGTTTTTGTCGACCGTTTGTCGCTTGGCCCTATTTCGGAGAACCGTTGATTGTATGGCTTGGTAATGTTTAATTGAATGGTATGGTATGGTTTGATTACATGGTTTGGAATTGATTAATTCTATGGGTTGGTTTGGTTTGATTGTATGGTTTGGTTTGGTTTGATTGTATGGTTTGGTATGCTTTGGTGTGATTTCATTGCATGGTTTGGTTTGATTGTATGGGTTGGTTTGCTTTGATCGTATGACTTGGTTTGGTTTCTTTGTATGGTTTGGTATGGTTTGTTATGGTTTGTAAGCTTTTGGACGGTTTGATTACATGTTTTGGTATGGTGTGATTGTATGGCTTGGTTTGGTTTGTTTGTTTGGTTCGGTTTGGTCTGATTGTATGGTTTGGATTGGTTTGGTTGTATGGTTTGGCATGTTTTCATTGTACGGTTTGGTTTGGTCTGATTGTATGTTTTGGTTTGGTTTGATTGGTTTGGTTTGATTTGATTGTATGGTTTGGTATCGTTTAATTGTATGGTTTGGTTTGGTCTGATTGTATGGTCTGGTTTGATTTGATTGTATGGTTTGATATCGTTTAATGGTATGGTTTGGTTAGTTTGATTGTTTGGTTTGGTTTGGCAGGATTCCAGGTGTATGGAGGGCCCAGTATTACTGTCTTATCTTCTAAAACATCTCAGGCAACTTCATAAAGTTAAAATGAATATTTTTACAACTTAAACTTGAATACTCATTCAAACCACAGATTGCAAGGATAGGACAGAAGTGGTTAAACAATTACCCTGGACTTACCAGGGCGCGAGGCACGTTTTGGTATATATTCGTATCTTCATTTTGGTCTATATTTCAACAGATTTAATGAACTTACAAAGTTTTCTTTTCAAACTTATTGATTTAAAAAGCATAACCCTAAAAAAAGTAATAAAAACAAAACACTAAAAGCGAAATCAGGCATCTAGTTCTGAGAATGGGAACTTTGTGTATGACCTTCCTTGTTTTTGGTTGGCCTTAATAAACTATATGAATACATTTTTTTAATCCTTTATTGTATCTAACAGAACGCTTTTTGCATTTTACTTTTTTCTAGTTGTAGTTTTCTGGAGCTGATTTTTGATTCAAAATGGATAGATTTTAAAACGTGCATGTGTATGAATCATATTGTGCATTATATCTGGGTTAATTTAGGTACCTACATCAGTTCAGTTTTGAATATATGACACTAAATAAAATAAAAAATTTTTAAGAGATTTTACAAATCAATATTTTTCTATCCAAAAAGAAGCACAAATTAAGATTTTCATCCATAATGAGAGCCCAATTATTTAAAATTCTATCAAACATTTGGACCGGTCTATCACATAGGATTTCAGTGTATAACACCAAACCTTTACAAGATACCTTTGTAAATTAGGATCTTAATCAAATTTTTAAATTAAGACAAAAATGTTAAAGAATAACTCAAAATGAATATTTTAAAATGTAATATAGTTTTAATTACTGCAGTTATGAAGCTTAAATGCACAACTTGTTGGAAAAATATATTGCACAAGATGCACTCAAAGATACTTAAATTATTTTACTTGAAAGGACTGTAAGCGCAATTTCAAATGACCCTCCATGCAAAGAGGGCCATGCCCGATTCACAACAGTAACCTATTAATCGAGTAGAGAGATCTTTCTGTTTAAGCATATCTTGACCCGCTTTAATTCCCCTGAAACGCAACTGTGCGCTGTGTACAGTCTGAACTCAGACAGCTGATCTGCTACTTGCGTAACTCGAAAGTAGATCTACTTGATTACGTTAAAAGCGGTTTCAAACATTCAATTAAGTAAATTTTATTTTCAGTCACATTCAGATAGAAACTATTGATATTTCGTTAATATACAATAACAGTTTGCGAAGAAAATATTTAGCAATTAAAAGCAGTTCAGTAGAGTAATAGGGAAATATCAGATATCCTTGATTAGTCAAAGGTTTAAAGGGTACCGTTTTGAATCCTTGATCAGTCAAAGGTTTAAAGGGTACCGTTGTGAATCCTTGATCAGTCAAAAGTTTAAAGGGTACCGTTGTGAATCCTTGATCAGTCCAAGGTTAAAGGGTACCGTTGCAAATCTTTGACCTGTCAAAGGTTAAAGGTTACCGTTGTGAATCGGAAAAGTTCCTCTTTATATGGAAGGTCACTTTGAACGAATTTTTATATTTATATGGAAGGGCATTCCCTTAAAGAATTTGGTTTTCAGTCCCTTAAACAATTTGGTTATTAGTCACATAAACAATTTGGTTATCAGTCCCTTAAACAATTTGGTTATTAGTCACATAAACAATTTGGTTATCATTCCCTTCAAGAATTTGATTATCAGTCCCTTAAACAATTTGTTTATCAGTCCCTAAAACAATCTGGTTATTAATCCCTTACACAACTTGGTTGTCAGTCCCTTAAAAAATTTGGTTATTATAGTCCCTTAAAGAATTTGGTTATCAGTCCCTTAGAGAATTTGGTTATAAGTTCCTTAAGCAATTTGGTTATCAGTCCCTTAGAGAATTTTGTTATGTTGACATCTTTTCAATTAAAAGCAATCATTTTCTTGCTTTGAAGACTATAGTTGAATGCTATCAAGGTTTTTATATTGTTTTTTTTTTTATATTTAGAATATATAAAACTTTCCAATTTAAATATGGGATAAAGTTTGTAGAGACCCTGTCAAAATTTAAATCCTGAACACTCTGGTTCGATGTAATATGTGTTTAAAATATGCAAAATATAGGAAAATATAACAGATAAATCAAAGTAAATTGAGTTTTATGGGGTGCAGTCATTTTATAGAGGCAAGGCTATTCTAAATCTAAATTATGGCAGCAAAATAAGCAAATTAAATTAGTTTTTTTTTCTAAAGCAATTATTATCATTATTTCTTATCAGATTTCTAAAGGAATTGAGTCTTTGACACAAACTCTGATTTTTAAATCCTTATATCTTAACAACCCAATGTCGTAGACCTTAGATATTTCAAACTATGACTTCTGTTATATCAAACAATCAAAGTTTGAAATATCAAAAGTTTACATAATTTAGTTGTAGATATATAGGTATAAGAAAATTGGGATTTGTTGCAAAGACTCAATTCCTTTAATTTAAATTTTATGTAAGTATCGTAATCTCTAATAAAAAAGGTAATAAAGATTTCCAAATAATCAACTTTAAGCCAACGTAAGTTACGATAAAATTAAGAATCTTAGAATCCTTGACAAAGAAATTATTTTTCATAAAATAAAATATTATGAATGTATACAGAGATACAGATTGCAGAGTGAAAACCTTCCTGCCCTGTGGATAATATCTCAACATATACTGCATAGGCTCAAACAAAGGTATTATTAACCTTAGAAAAATTTCATAACTTTATTTATTTTTTTGCCAGATTTTCTGATGGGTCTGGAAGAACTGATTTTGAATGCAGCTATAGCTCCTCACTCCCTCTTCAGGTTTGTAGGATAAATGATGTTTTCATTTCTAAGGAAAAAAATCTATTTTGTGAATAGAATAGACAAGAAAAAATTTTTCCGGTTTATTTCTGGTCGAGTAGTGGAAACCGACAAAGGAATTAAGTCTTTGCCACAAAATCAAATTTTTGATTATCCGTATATCTTTGCAACCTGATAGTGTAAAACTTTGATATTTCAAACTTAGATTATTTGATCTAAAAAAATCCATAGTCTAAAAAGTCTAAGGTCTACGACATTGGGTTGTTAAAATATATTGGGATTAAAAAATCAGAGTTTGTTGCAAAATCTCAATTTTGTGTAAATGAAATAAAAACAATATCGTTGCTGAATTCAGAGTTTCTGAAGAATTTCCAAAATGGAAGTGGAAAAATTGTCTGTATTCTTTCCGTAGGTAAACTGGACAATATTATTTCGGTGGTATAAAACCCTAATAAATAGGTTACAAAACAGTTACAGCTCCGTAAAAATTTTTCAATGAGCAGGCCTTGAAAAGTTGGACTAGGGACATGTACCTCACGCCCATATCTCAACAGTAAGGGTAAAATCAATCTATGTTAGACAAAAATAGCCCACTCGGGAGAGGGTTAACACTGATCATCTATCACTATCATAGCCGGTTTTTTTTTACTAGATTTATACAATTAAAATTATAATATTTCTTTTTAAAGCTAAAACACAAAATGCATCTCTCTAAAAGTGTATGTTTAATCTTTTGTAATAGTTCTAGGCTATAAATCTAGAAGAAGTTAAATGAAATTAAACTTTAAACATTCTCCACACTACTCTTTTATTTAAATTAACTAAAATTTAAAAGAATAGAATAAAGAAAAGGCGTTGGTATAAAACACCTTGAGATGTCAAACTTACAAGAGTTTTGTATAAAATTAAATAATAGAATTCTAATTTTTCTGAAACAAAAATAAAATTATATAATAAATCTTACGAGAGGAATTGATGTTCTGTTAGTAGTTATCAGCTCCTTTCTGACGTTTGCTTTCCACAAAGCTTTACAAAAATAAATCAAATAACTGAAAATGAATTTAGATAGCTATTACATATGTCTCAAGGGCTTAGGCAAATGGCTTAAAAGTTAAATTATTGATAATTACAAATTCTTTTTATATTCTCTTCGTTTTTATTGATAATTTACATAATGTTTTAATATTCCCTTGGAATGAATGAGACAATATGTTTTTAATATTCCCTTGGAATGAATGAGAATTAATGTAGTTAATAACTTACAATGTAATTTATTAATATAAGTCTTACATAATGTTTACATATTATATAATTGAATGAATGAAAGTTAATGTAATTGATAATTAACATAATGTTTAAAATATTATGTTGAATGAATGAGAATTCAAGTAAAAGGATATAGACAGGACCTCTCTAGGGAATACAATTCACTCTTCAGACGTTAGACAGACACACAGACAGATAGACAGGCAGACATCCTTAGACATTCAAACTTAGAATTGAACACCAGAATATTTATTATCTATAGTTCAATGGAATCATAATATTTTTATCTTTGCAACCTGGTATTGTTAACCATTGATATTTTAAACTTAGATTTTATTTTACAGACATCATGGTTTGAAATATCACAGCTGTCTACGACATTGGGTTTCAAAGTTATAGGGATTATATTTATAAAATGAAAGTTTGTGACAAAGCCTTCCACTGTAAACTAACCAGGAGGAGAAGGTCATATTCAATTGTCATTACTTTTACAACTTTGTGACTTCGTTGCTCCTCTAGTTCTTATTTTATACACATGTGAAGAAAAGACAATTTATTTGGTTATATATTATGAAATCAAAACATTTTTGATCTTCTCAATAGCTTTTTAATTAATGTGCATTTTACTATAGTTTGACGTTCTCATTTCTTTCAAACAATGCTCTCTACTCTACAGATGTTCATGTTTTCATTTGCACAATTTTGGATTTGAATATAAGCTATTAATTTTTTAAGTGCCATTTTTAAGGCCGGGTGAATTTTGTGGTGTTAAAAATGGTTTGAAATTTTTGATATTAATACTTTGAAACTTGTTAATTAAAACTGGGAATTAGTTAATTCGCATCAAAATACGTATAAACCATGTTATATTTAAGGTTCAGATATCTATGGAAACTCTTACACAGCGAACCGCACAATTTAGAGCCATAGAACGACGACTTTTGACTAGGTAAACTAATAGCTAATAGTTTTAATGATGTATCTTTTTAACACAGAGGTTTTTTCTAAGGAAAAGACATTTCCCCTCCCCATCTTCTTGTTTTTTTAAATCACCCCCCATTAAAAAAAATGTATACTTTTGTTATCAATTCTCAATCAAAAAGAACTTTTTAACGATTTTGAACCAGACATTTTGTTTGTCTAGGTTTAAGGACAAGACTCCAGTTCCCCTGACCAACCTAGATATGCTACTGGAGGGAACATATAAACAGGCAAGTATGCAAGTATAGGCTAAGGAAAATACCATTAACAAACTATTTTTTTTAAATTTTGCCATAATTTTACCATAATAAAAAAATTGTCTTTTGGTTTGACCATTTGTTTGGATACGCTAACGTATCCAAACCAATTGTTATATTTTTTTTGGTGCAAGGAGAAGCAATTTTAGGTACGGAACGTGGTTGGGGGGTATGTTTACATTTCTTCTATTAGATTAGTTTCTAAGATTTTATTTCTGTTTTTAGACTTAATTTAATTTTGAAGGGTTTGTTGGAAATTCTTAACATTCTTTAGTTAATTTAATTTGTTTTAATTTACATAAAATTAAAATAATGAGGCCTGTAAGAAAATCAGTAAATTTAGCAGAGCTGGCTTAAACAATCAATTTATATGGTAGACACAATAAATGAAATTCGTAGTAAATCAAACTTTAATGTTATTAACATTTTTGCACCAATTTCTTTTACATTTACGAGTTTTGCTCCAAGGAATTGGTTGTTTTTATGTTACTAAATTCCTATTTTATATAATTATCTACACGTTTGCTCTTTTCAAAATTTTGTTTGGCATCAAATGAACATTAAACTCTAATTGCAGAAACAAATTTTTATGCAAATAATGATCAAAAACTTTTTGTTTTATTTCTAGACTACTTAACCATGCGTTTTAGCAATTTTAGGGGTTTCAGTAATTTTTTAATTGAAGGTTTTCATAACTGTGTCAACCTGCTCTGCTGACACTAATCACATTTCTGCTTATTTTAAGTTATCAATTAGAAATCTTTTTGATTTGGAAAATATATTTCTTGAGCTTTTTTCAAGAAAAAATCTGGACTTGATTCTAATTTCACTTAAATCACTTAGTATTTTGGAGAATTCAAGTAAAATCATAATGACAGAAAAACATTAATTAAGCCAAACGATATATCAATTAAGGTGTTTTCTATACTGGTTTTGAAAGCCTGTAATAAAAATATTTTTAATATATGTGTGTAGATACAGATAATCGCTTAATCCAAGGGTTTGCTACACGGCCCGCTTATAGATATGATTCTATCTATCTATCTACACTGAACTCGGCCACAGTACAAATTTTATTTTGGTAATTTTTTCCATGGGCCTACCAGCTGATATAGCAAACCGGACCCTAGATTTGTTGTGTTTATTTTAGGGGCATATTTATGTTTTTTTTTAATGTTTCTTTTATACAATTTTTTATTTTTTTTTATTCAAAATAGATTTTTTTTTGTTTACAAAGAATTAATATCTGAAGGAAAGTTCAGGGTCCATAGAGTAGGAAAGTTGTACAGCTGTTTTGATAAACAGTGGGCCCTGTGATGTATGAACATGAGGTACTGCAGTGTAATATCAAGTGAAAATAATAGTACTTGTCAAGATAAAATCTTTTTTTCGTTCCCGAAAAAAGACCTAAGAGTAGTATGGTTTACAAGCCAACCTTCCTCCTGGAATCCGAAAAAATGGAGTGTGATATGCTCAGACCATTTTTCTCCTGATGACCTTAATAGGGTTTCTAAAAGACTACGACCTGGAGCCATACCATCCTCTAACCCCAAGTCATCAGCAATTCAAGGTAATAT